ATAACAAAGTCAATATATAATACAATTATTAATTCAAAATTAAATTATTTGATCCATAATTTAATTTATTTTTTGTGTTAAATATAATTAAATTTTATTTAATTCATGATTCAACTTCTATTTACTTACTATTTTTATTGTTCACAATTCATTTACTTGCTAGTTTAAAGGTTAAATAAATTTCGCTTTGCGCCGCGAAATTTGAATTGAAAACAATTCTACAGAACTACTTTTAGTAAGAATGTGGTAAATATTCAAGCGCAATTTTTAAAGGAGCAACCTATTTTCCTTAACGCGTCCAGCCTTCCAGTTTACATACTCGATCACTTTACGAGAGACAAGTCACACCACTTGAACGTGTTTCCCGTTTTTCCCATGTAATATACTGGATGTCCCGAGTCATTGCACGTGGCGATATACGTCGGTACCTGATCTCGTGTTAATTCCATCTGTCTACCGGTGTCTCCCTTCTCATGGAAACGCGCCGCCAGAGGAAAGGCATTTTTTTGTCGCGCCGGAAGTCCTGATTCAACGGCAGCCGCGCCTCTAAGAACGTAACCCTTCAGACATTTTTTTTTTTTTTTGTTTTTCACCAAATACACGCCATATTGTAACGTGGGAACCCGATGGAAAAACGCGGCAACGAATTTAACCAGGGACTCGCAGGCAGTAGATTAGTGTACTATATTTAAATGTCCGTCTGGTGGAAGCAGAGAAGCTTTTTCGAGAAACCCCATCGAAAAACCTCATTCATATATTTTTCTCTCGGGCGCGTCGCCCTTGTTCCAATTCCTCCTTCGTTAACCAACACGAACATCTCTGTTTTTATTGGCGGTACGTGAAAATCGAGCTTCAGCTGTCGCCCGTGGAATTAACATTCCAGTTCGCGTGTGAATTTGTCAGGCGACAAATATTTTGTATAATCGGTTGCAGTATGATTACAGATACGAATCACAATTGATGTCAGTTAAAAATGAACTACAGTTTCCATTGGTTGTAATTTATATTCATATACTTCTTTCATCTTTATTTCCCTCTTCGTTAACAAATATGAATTTTCTCTTTTTCATGAAAATCGATTTCGTCTGTGGATTAAAATATGAGCTCATGTGAGTTTTGCCAGGGACGTATTTTATATATAATTGATGAGACTATGGATATTAATAGAAATTCATATAATTATGTAAATTGTAATTTATGTTAGTTATAATTTATATATTTGTCTCAGTCTTCCTTCGTTAAATGTATTTCCCTTATTATTGGTATATATTTGTCAGGGAACAGATATTTTATATAATTGATGCAGCAGATATTAATGGAAATTCACATAATTATGTATATGTAATTAATTATAATTTGTTTAAGCAGAACCTCTTTCTACAAATATGAATCTTTTTTTTTATTGGTATCTATGAAAATCGATTTCAGCTTATAGAATAAAAAAATGTTTGTATAAATTTATCAGGAGACAAATACATTATATAATTTTAATACTTATTATTTTATTTTAATAATTTATATAATTAGCAGACTTCGAATATTATTTAAAAAAATATACTATTCTGATAGTATTTTACTTTGAATATTTTACATATGTTTTCTTATAGACATTGGTTGCATTTCTGCATTTTTTTTCTCGTAAATGTATGTAAATTCTCGGTCTAAAATAATATGATATGAATTCACGTTCGAATAAATAAGTACAAACAAGAACTTGTTGAATCAGTTGCTGCACAAGATACAGGTCAAAAAAAAAAATGGCACATTATAATACATATCACACTATAGTTGTGGAAATGAATATAGTTATAGGAATAAATCGATCGAAATGCTAGAGGTGTAATCAAAATTTAATTCGAGAACAAAGTAGCAGCCCGATAGAAAACAGGCAGCCACCTAATTGTTTCTAATCGTACAGATCGAACGATAAACCCATCCAAGTCTTTATTTTTACGCTGGTAACGAACGAATGAACGAAATTTCGTTCACCGATAGTGATAAGATAATGATAAAACAAATTATAAAAGTGCGAAAATCAAGAAAAAAAAAGAAAAGAAAAAAGCAGAAACGTATCACTGTCGTTCCGATCGAACAATGTCTACCACGTTGCAGAGCAAATCGTTCGTCCTCGCGAGAAACATGTCGAACCAGTTGCACCAGCCCGGACTGTTTGTTTCCGGTGTCTCGAAGATTTCTTGACAGTGAATGAGATTTTGATTCGCGGATCTTCTTCTCGATTGATCGTTGTCGAAAAAGAAGCGAAAACGATAATCTGGCCTGGCCTACACGTTGTAGAACCAGAGGATCCCGGCTGTTGAAGACCTTGAGGAGAACCGCAGCTGCATCGTTGCATCGGCTGCGAGAGAGAAGGTAAAGGACAAACGTATAATATGATCTAACAGATCGTAGCTGGCGTGCGAATCGCGAAATCTCGATCCATAGATCCTCCAGGTTTCTTCTTTTTCTTCTTCTTCTCTCCCTCTCTCTCTATCTATCTATCTTTCTTGCCACCCCTTCTAGTTGGAGGTTGATCTTGAAATTTTATCGCCTCGCTTATGCTTCCATTGTTTCGCGCTCTGCCAACCGGTATTTATTATTTAATCTTCCTTTTCGTGGGAATAATTGAAGCTTGCATGTACCATAGTTGCTTCTTCCTCGTGTATTATCTCTCGTGGAAGTTTGGAGCACTCTTCGTCACAGTAAATGAAACTTTTTGTATAATAATTTTTTTTCCTTTTTCGTGACTCTGTAAGAAAATTTCTAATTGTAATTTCGATTTTTAAATGTAATTTTATGAATATTTAACTGATATGACATTATAAAAGAATAATGTCGTTCGTCTTTATTTTCTTGAGAAAGTGATTATTTCTTTTCGAACTTTAAATCTCTGAGCGAGGGTTATGTTCGAATAAACTGAACGTCACGTTTTATCGAACTATCGTGCATTTTAGATAAAGTTAAGAAGTACGAGAAAAGTATTTTTTTTTTTTATTTACTATTTTACTGTTTCGCATTTTAGATATTATATTGAGCGCAGAACGTTATTAAGATATAATGTATTTTAAAAGTATTTCAAATTTCGTTTTACCCTTAGCTCTTAACTTTTATTTTGGAATTTGCAATTTCATTCAAT